TACTTTTCATTTCACTCCATTTGGTTGTTTTCTATATGGAAGAAGTCATTCAGTCCTCAAGTCCTCGAGCAATTCCTTTATTGACAAACATGTACACAGTTCCTTTGGATAATCAACCCTCCTTTGACGCCATGACACACAGGCAATTTTACATCTTTCAAAGATCCATTTTGCGTAGATGCTTCGTAGAACGTGACAAAAAAATACTTTTCAGTTAAAACAATGATAAAATCCCTGATTTCATACCATAGTGCATCTACAATAATATCTACTGGCATTCACAACTATCTTATACACTAACCATGATTTACTGTTGTGTTGAAAATTCATCGAGGAGGACAGGTCTCAAATGGATTTTTATGCTGAAGCTGTGAACTTATCTACTATCAAATAGTTCAACATGGATTCCCTTCCTGATACACACCTATTTATGACACACCAACAGATTCTCCAGCGCTTGCCAGTTCAGTTCGCCTGGCATTCCACTCCTGAAATGCACCCTGGTCTTCATTTTCTCTATCATTCACANACATTTACCCAAACATTTAGAAGCATCACCAACTGTGGTATGCACCGCCTAAGTCCTGACCAGTGTAGTAAATCAGATTTTTCATAGTTAAACACATACCGTGGACATCCTCTGGATGACATGCTCTCGGTCTTGTAGCGTGCTGTCCAAAAACTGGTAGGCAATCAACTCCCGGGTACGTAGTAGTAGTAGTAGTAGCAGTAGTAGTAGTGGCAGTACAATTATCTCCGCCCCTTTTCTCCACTGTTGTTCTTCTATCCCCTCCTCGTATTTATACGCATTGTTTCCCTCACTCTACAGAATTCATCGCCGCTGCTTGGCAGTGTTGGGAGCCGACGGTCTCCGGATGTGGATGATCACACCAGTCCAGCTGGAGGTGGCGGATGTCATGGCGGTGGAGCTGCCGGAAGTGGACCTGCCAGCCGTGGAGATGGTGGCGGAGGTGTTGGTGGTGGAGGAGGAGCCGGTGGGGGTGCTGGTAGTGGCGGCGGTGGTGGTGGTGGCGGTGGAGGCACCGGTGGTCGCGGTCGGTCCTGTGACAACAACTGTGGTGGTGGAGGTGGTGGGAGAACAGCTTCAGCGGGCAATGCGCAATCCGCCGNCCAGCATTTGGGCCGCCATTCAGCCAACTCTCAACATCAGCTGCACCAGCAGGCGCATCTGAGCCACCATTCCCATCAAACGGGACCGCAACACCTATCACAATCTACTACGCCCCTATCCCGTAGTCACGGCAACGCTAGTCAGGATGTGAATAGCGAAGCTGGTACGTAACATTCATCACTAATATGTGGTACTGCGTGACGAACGCGTGTAGGTATTCAGATGACTAAAAATTCTTTAGTTTCTACGTTTTATCATCACATTTGAAATCAAAGAATAATGCCTGAATATTTTAAAATACAAACAAGTTTGGTTGGTTGACAAATCGATTTACGGACAGTCAGAGAAATATACCGATAAACAGATATCAGTTGACTGACTGACTAACTGACTGACTGACTGACATTAGATGCATAATATCAATTACTTAATCATTTACCTAATTTCGGTAATGTTTTGGATTTTTCCAGGGGATGGTGTAGACAATTCTGTAGATTCCAGCGAAAATGTTGATGATTTTGACCTAGAAGAAAAGGCTGCAAAACGCCAAAAGAAGCGGGGCATATTTCCCAAAGCCGCTACCAACATCATGCGCGCGTGGCTTTTCCAGCATCTCTCGGTTAGTCTCCCTTCTCTTTAAATTTTGTTTAAATACGCACCTGACCAACTAGAATGCCTTTCATAAGTAGAGATGACTGTTGTTTTTTTATTTGACGTACTGTGTTAGCACCGCAACTTGTGCTTGCATGACTTTTTCGCTTCTTTGTCGGGACTGGTACATACATGTAAGTTCTTCACTTCGATCTGACCAAGCTAGCCGCTTTGTGCACGTGAGTGACGGTGGACCATGATGTGTATATATATATATATATATATATATATACGTGACCGTATGCATTCCGTTCGAATATGACTCAGCAACCGTGGGGTTTGGATTGCTGATGTCTCGCCCGACACGACGATAGTGTTTGTAGTCGAACTGATAAATTATTACCTATCTCTGGAAGCATCTGACCGCGGTACACAGTGAGCGCAATTGGGCCGTCCATCTATCGAACTCCATTGACGTGAAGCGGGAGATTTCCTTGTGGCATACAACAACAAAAAAACAATGCACCTTCATTTGCACAAACAAAACCATTCGTAGCCAATTGCAGCTTCAGTATGATTGGATGGAGAAACTTACAGTGTAGTCTGTTATAGATATGCGGACGCACAATCCTACCCATACGTACATGGACACTCATGCAGGACTTTTAGATGCCACGTAAAATGTGTGTAGTCTTGCTTTCCTCCGTCGTACAGTTTCACATGAACTTTTTGTTGCTTGTTCGGGACAGACATAGATGAACCAGTCGACACACACATACAACAACCCCTATCCATCCATCCATCCTATCGTCTGATAGGTATCATTCATTCTAAGATGTAAATGTGTACGGCTGTGAGATGCTTGCTCGCTTGTTGCTTTTTCTGTCGCACTCCAGGCCAAAAAGGCACATCCAACGGTCATAGACTCACCTGCCGTCGTGGTGATAATATCCGACCATTTGCAAACCCGTTTATCTTTTCCTGAGCTGAAAATCCACAGAGCAAAAGCACCATCTAACACATCGGCGGACTTTACCTGACTAAGTTCAGGATTTGGGTGAGCATCAGTCACATGAGGCCCTGTGCAGACACACACACGTGAGCGAGAAAAAAATCAACGGACTCTCCTCATGCATTGTCACACACACACTCTCTCTTTCCTACCCTATAAGCACCGTTTCACTTCCGTCCAATATGCCATAAAATCTTCATTTCGCAGACCTGCCCGTCTGCATTCCGGTCGCTTCTTCTTCTTTTACCGTTTGTTCCTTTAAATTTATGTGTTGTTCCTTGTTGGACGATACAATGATGATTGACCCCCGGGGTCAGTGGAACATTATCGATTCCAGTCTGGTTGATTGAAGAGCTACCGCTGAGAGCAAGTTATAATAAGTGAACTCATCTCAATCGGATTTCAGACAGTATTTTTGTGGTAGAGGTCCTCTAAAGTATCATACTGATAATTGAATAACGTTGTAGTTTTGATGGACATCAGTTTTTTCTACGTGAAATGAAGACATCAGACAAAAATACTCAACACCAATAACGAATAATGTATGCAATATTTTTTCTCGTACAAACAATCTTGTTTCAGCATCCCTATCCATCGGAAGAACAGAAAAAACAGTTAGCAACAGACACTGGACTGACTATTCTACAAGTAAATAATTGGTAAGTTCTATTTTCATTTGCTCTGACGGGGCTAAAAGAAACAATGTTTCCCCTGGCAGCCTTTAGAATCTCTAAACGTAGGGGTTCCGCATCAAATTTGAATGTGTTAGATCTCTTTGAAGCAAAGA